TATGCACACACTTGGGCTTGTTTCCTATCTTCTTTGTATGCTTAAGAGTTGTAAATCTTGTTATACAACACAATGAATTCAATGCACATTATATATATCCTTCCACATATTTCCATTTATTATTATGCAAATTAGTTTGATTTTCACCCGGTGATCGTTGAACATTTTTGTCTCTCGCCGCAAAATACCTCCCGCATCCATCTCCTCCTTGTTACTGTCGTCGTTCTGATAGGAATGCGCCGAAATCGTGCTTGATTTGGCGTGGGTTCGACATTTGTTGGCTCATTTTTAGGGGTCAACACATATCATGAACTAAAATAAGCAAACTGTTATTAGCGTAAGAAAATCCATATTTTCTACATGACATGAAAGAAAATCATTAACTAGTAGATTATTATTCATTTCCCCGTACTAAGCAAACTAAAAGCTTCAACTAGGCAAATAAATTTCATGAGTATAATTGACGTATTGGAATAATAGTTCGGGCAGAAGTAGTATGTTGTGATAGTATGAAATTATGAATGGTTCTAACAGCCTCCAAGTTCTGAATCTCTCCTACGAATATTGCTCTCAGGCATTGTCTGCGTTACAGACTGCAATAAAATACATTATGCAAACCAGGACAGAGCTATACTTCTAACAAAGTTTGAACTTCACCTTGAAAACAGCCGGTTCATCCATATCATTCTATGTAACACCCCGAAAATTTTTAAATAAAAATTTATTTGTTACATATAGTATATTTTATGATTTTGAAAGTTGAGGGATTAAAATAAAGTTTTAAATTCTTATGTTTTAAATGGGCCAAATATTTAACTTTTTATGGAGTGACCAAAGGTATATCAACTTTGGGTTCATTTTGTAGCTCGTATCAAATAACGTAGATTGGACTGGAGAAAATGTAAGTTCATATGAGTTAAGCCCATGATATTTCAATTCAAAGAAGCACGATTTATATGTATTATTTTATTTTATGAAATTGTACATTTTAAGATAATTAGCCAAAGAAAATAATATTATATAATATAGGTACATTTATCTTTAAATTAAAAAGGGGATTAACCATATATTCTTTATCCCATTTCAGTTTCAGTCTGTGCACGCGTAATTGTATATATTTAT